ACAGAAAATAAATGCCATTGCCTTCATCAGCAATACCTTCCCCTGGGTTCACAATAATAATTCAACACATATAACGCCCCTATCTTTTTCTTTTTGGTATTGGCATGTTGACATTAATGTGGCTCACATCACCAATCCTTTTTTTTATAGAACTTGCTTTCAATATCAGAATCACTAACTATGTTAAAAAAAAACTATTTAGATTAATTTATAAGAATCTAATTTTTATTTTTTATTAAATAATTGTTTATCATTGTTATATTGAAGCATTATTGTTTTCTCAAGTTGTATTTGTAATTGAATTTTTATCATTGTGGAAAATTCTATTTCCCGAGTATCTTGTTCAATTTTTTGTTGTATCAACAAAAATAATTAGTAATGATCAGTGGAGTGCATATTACTACTTTATGCAAAGCTAAGGTCATTTTTTTCTATTAAATGCTTGTTACCAAAGGACTTTGTTAGTAGGATACTAACATTTAATTTGAATATTGTAATAATATCTCAATAAATAAAATTCAAAGTTCACCTTGTTTCTGCTAGTTTCTATTTGTAAATTCATAATGCAAATTCTTATTTGAATTATTCATAATACACACAACTCGATCTTAATTCAAATTATTTATTTTATTTGAGTTATTTGTTTTTTTCGAATTATTCATTTTATTCAAATAGTAACCCTAGTTCTGGTCATGCACAAGGTTTTCTTTCCAGCTGCACATGTAATATTATTGCAGGTGAATTCTGGCCAAGTGTCTCTCAGTTTTCTTTCCAGCTTCATATGCTCTAAAAAAAAAAATAGAAATACACCACTTGAGGCATCACTACAAGCAATGTAGTGAAATTAAAAGGGTTCCTAAAGGTTGGCCAAACCATCAATCATCAGAAAGGATTATGAATTAACCCGCAGCTTCATTAATCAATTACAGTTTTTATTATCAAATGGATATTATTAAAAATTGAAGGAAATTTAAGTGTATTTATACTTCTTAAAGTATTACAAACAACAAGACTTTTTACATGATTTTGTCCAATAAAATATAATAAATAGAATGATTAATAATGAATGACTTATATTAATTACTAATATTACATGCCAAATGCATAATTGATGATGTCATGATATAAATTGAATTAATTGGCAACAATTGGGATCCAAGTTGGTCCTCAATTTACTATTACTATCTTCTATGGCATTTACTTGGATCATGTATATTATCATTTGCATATTCTCCCAAGCAAGCTGTGTTAAAGTCAGTTTTCTCTCTTAAAATTCTCTCCAACATTAGGAAGTTTTTCCTACATATGATTTACAGTCAAACATCATCACAACGGATCTCGCCGCAGAGAATTTCTTGTTACAATGACATAACGGATTTTATTAATAAATTTGTTCCAGATTTTTGATGGAAGCCTATATGGCTACTAGTCTCATAGCGGATCCATGTTACATATAAAATGAATTAAAATAAATTGTACAACCCATGATTAATAAAAATTCGCAAGTTCCTAAAATAAAATAAATAGTAAGATTCCGATGATCTAGAACCGCTGCAGAAATAACATGATATTTTATATGTAAAATCTAAACAAATGTTATTGGTAAATCATGCAATGTTTTATTGAAAAAATTAAAAAAAGATTTTTGTTTTTTTTATATGAAGAAAACTTGGCGAGAGCTTTATTAAATGTATTATATGTATTTTTAACTGCTTTACAAGCCTACCAAAAAAATATTCAATAGTAATCATAAAGTTACCGGAAAAATGGGCGCCTAGATTTAACATTCCACGCCTCTAAAGTTACTGATTCGAAATTCTGCAATTTTAATCGTTGTCCCGTGCAATGTTTTATTGAAAAAATTAAAAAAAGATTTTTGTTTTTTTTATATGAAGAAAACTTGGCGAGAGCTTTATTAAATGTATTATATGTATTTTTAACTGCTTTACAAGCCTACCAAAAAAATATTCAATAGTAATCATAAAGTTACCGGAAAAATGGGCGCCTAGATTTAACATTCCACGCCTCTAAAGTTACTGATTCGAAATTCTGCAATTTTAATCGTTGTCCCGTGTGACATTTTATTTCAAAAAAATTTTTTTAATACAAACTTTATTTTTTAAATTATTAAAAAATGAATAAATACTATTAATTAATTCCTGATGATTTATTAAAAGATAATAGAAATTCTTAAAAATTATATAGGTCATTGTTCTCTATCTTTCCCTTTCCCTTTCCCCTTCTTTTTTGTAAAACAAGGTCGGGCTCCTCTGGTAAAATCAACTATTTTTTTGTCATCGGAACTTGGAATTTGTGGTACAGGTGATGGTTTCTCAATTGAATTTCTTGGTGAGTTTCCAATTAAAGGTTTTGGAGGAAGTGGTGGTGGATAACTGTTTGGTTGAACATAAACTTCATCTGATTCTATCCCAGTTAAGGGAAAATAACAAATACCCATGATATAATCATTTGGATAATCACCATCCCATTGATGGTTCATAACTATTTTTGCATTATTTTTTAACCAGTGTACTTCACATTTTGGTTCTTGAATTAACAAACGAAATTTAAATATTCTAACAATATCTTTGATAAGATTTTCTGCTATATTTTCTGCAGTTTTTCTTTTATCATCATCTTTGATATAACGATATCCTGCCATCAATTGATTGAGTTCTAGTGCTGTGGATGATATGAATGGATGTACATTTTTATTTTCATTTTCATAAATCTCTGAAAATCCAAATTCACCCAATATACCATAAACTTGTTGACGTATTTTTGTTGAAATATCATCAACCATATTATTATTTTGCTTAAAACGACTATTATAAAATTTATCAAGTAAATCTATTAATTTATTTGTATAATATATAATATATTTTTCTTGATTATTAGGACTATTGGGATCATCATCATCTTTAATTTCAAGATAGTCATTTACAAATTTAAAACCATTTTCTAAAACATAACGTTGTAAAACTGCTTTCATCAAAATTTTATCTGTTAGATTTTGAGTATTTAAATTATATTTTCCATATAATCCTTGAATTTTATCATTATCAATTTTTATATCACCTTTTAAAGTAGTAACATAGTCCTTAATTTTACACTGTAAAGAATTTATATCAATTGAAAGTTGAACTGTGTCCTCCTCACTTGAACAATTATTCGACAGACCATCACCTAAAATAGGCTGATTAAATAAATTTGGATTTTCTAATCTTCTGTTTAATCTCTCTATAGCTTCAATCAAAACTCTGTTGGAATTGTCTGCTTCTGCCTTCAAACCTGCAATTATATTATTGTAAAATGCCTCAACTTCCTGTTTGTATTTAGCCATATTGTTGTTATATTGTATTTCCATATTTTTAATTTTTTCATTGTACTTTGGCTCGATTTCATGTTGGTATCTGATCAACTCATTTTTATATGTAAAGTTTTCTGTCTCCAAAGTTCCGATTTTCTCTTTGTACTGGACTATTTCTTTATCTAAGCTAGAAATTTTTTTGTTTAATTTTTGATTTTCCAGATTCAACTTGTTATAATTCTCTTCCAAGTTTTCCATCAATCCTTTGAAGTCACTACGACGAGAAGGATTTTGTTCTAGACAAGTTATTTAGGTTTTATATGTAACTTTTTCAATTAACATAACTTTTTTGAGATACATTCCAAATGTGCAAAATTATAAAAATCCTTACCATTTGAAATTCGAGGTTGAGACATCATTCAATATATTAAATAACTTTTTAATAAAAAAAAAAATAAAATAAAAAAGTTCGAATTATAAATTTACTATGAACGATATTAATATATACTAATACGTGAGTGTTCAAACTTTTTTTCTGATTTACTTATTGTTTTCTTGCTTATTTTGGTAATTTTTGGTAATATATACACGAACACGAATGTTATTTTCATGTAACACAAGATAAAAAAATTTATCAATATTAATATTAATAAAAATGTCAACTCAAGAAAGTTTAGATAAGAATATAGTCAATAACAACAATAATAAAAATTACAATAATATTGATAAAGATGATAGTGGAGATGATGCTAATAATAATGAACTTGATCAAACTTCAAGAGCCTCTTCTGCGATGATATCCAAATTTATTATTTACTCATTTTTATCAGGAACGTTTGCAGCATTAGCATCAGTTTTTGGCAAACTTTCTACTGATACCAAGACTTTGAAAATTTTATGTAGCAATATAATGAATAACAAATATTATAATAATTATTATGTTCATTTTAAAAATGTTTTAATAGACTTTTTATTATGGGATTGTACAATGCTCTTAAGCGATGATAATGGAGATGATGACGATGATGATAACATTGATACAAATTCATCATCTCGCTTTGTAAGGGATTTTATATGTGTGTATGTGTATATTTATTTATATTAAAAATTTTTTCTTTAACTCCATTATACTTTTTTTTTATTAAAAAAGAAAAGAAATTATATATTCCCAGTCATTTTCTTTGGTCTGATATTTCTATGCAATGCATTGATGTGGGCATTTTTTACTAAAGCTTTAATCAAATCATCATCATCTCTTCAAGTCACTGTGTTGAATAGTACAACTAATTTTTGTATGACGGTTAGTTAGTTAGTTAATCAGTTAATGGAGTAATTAGATTAATTGTTTAGCTGGTTTTGTCCATTGATTATTTTTAATTTTAATCCCTTTTAGGCAATTTTGGGGTATTTAATATTTGGTGAATTGCTTAATTTACAATGGTGGCTTGGAGCAAGTTTAATTGTGATAGGCACAGCAATTGTGTTGATGAACAATCACAGTGATAATAGTAACAGCGACAATAATAATGACAATATTGACAATGTTGTGAGATCGATGAAGTAACAACTCATTGTTAAGAAATACAAGGCAATTTTTATACTTATTTAATGATATGTGGATAATAACATACAAATTTGCTGGATTATTTTTAATATTCATTTAATAATATAAAAAAAAACGAATATATTATTATTCATTATCTTCTTCAGGATCTTCCCATATTGTAAAAGGAATTTTTATTGTCTTTTGTTGTTCAATAGTGAATATATTATCATTGAAATGATTTGTAGAAGGAGTTGTTGTGGTAGTAGTGGTAGATGGGAATGGCCAAGCAACATTTCTAAAGGTGTTGTTTTCATCATCAGGTACCGAATCTGGTGTCAATGTAAGATTATCATCACTTGAATCATCGTCATATATCGTGTTGTTATATTGAACTCTGTCATCCATGTTAAACACTTTTCGAACAAAAACAAAGTTAGATCGTCCTTCTGGATTCCACCATGTATTTTTAGATTGGACTTGTTCAAACGAGCCATTTGTTGGATTATTATTGTTGTTGTTGTTGTTATTACTACTACTACTAATATTATTATCATGACTAGTACTAGTAATAATATTATTATCATTACTACTATTATTATTACCTGTACTGGTACTATCATTTTTATTAATATTATTGCTTCTATTATTACTATAATTATAACTTTTAGATTTATAATTAGTTGGCTCATATTTTTTCATGATATCAGCCATTTCATCCGCCTCGTATTCAAGTATTTCAAAAGCTGCATTAGGGTGTGCTTTGGATATAGGATAATAATCCAAAACATTGGACACTTGTAGAAAATTAAAAGTTGATTTAGTTCCATCATGACCGTCATTAATATTATCATGACGTCTTTTTAATTTTTTGCTTGTAGAAGAAATTAAATCTTCGCCGAATATTGAGGAAGGTGAATAATTTTCCTTTTCTTCTTGATTAACCACCACACCATTATCGCTAACCTCATCTTCCAAATCAAAATCTTTATCAACGACAAGCGAAGGATAATTGGACAAATCGTCATCTAAACTAGTAAGTTGATATGAAGGGGGTAAATTAGAAAAATCATTATTACTAAAAGTTAATTTTGTAGGTGTTGTTGAAAAAAAACGAGTATTTCTATTGAAATGCTTGTAAAAACTCTTTGAACTGCTCATAACGCGTAAATTGGTGAGAACCACGCGTAAAATGGGAATTATAATAATAATTACAAAAATTTATTTAACCCCTAAATACAACACGTTTTATTTTAATAATTTGGAAATGAAAAAAAAAAATTTATATTTATGAAAAATAATTTGATGAATCAATTGACCAAATAATGTGTTTGTCTTTTATGAAGTGAAAATGCCATATAAGACTCGCAATTCGCAAATCTTGCATTTAATGAAGGATCTTGGAATAACTTGTCCTGTTGTTGAAGTAAATTGTATGGTAACTGGTTCGCCAATACCATTAAATTTGATGGGACTAAAAAAAGGACCAAAATTATTGATTGTATTAAGGTTATTGATATGATTATAAATATTCTTGTTATTGCTAAATCCTGTTGCATTGATATTTGGAATTCTGTCTTTGATTACTCGTTTTATTTGTTTTATAATAATAAAATATAAAATATTAATTCACAGCTTGATGCAACAAATTCTATGTTATTGTTGTTGTTATTGTTTAACTTTATAAATAAGATCTTATTTCCCTTAACAAGATAATATAATTATAATCCGCATTACTACTACTACTATGGTTACTAGTATTATGACTTAAGAAAAGAAAAGAAAATGTTAATTACTTCTGCTACTACTATTTATTATTATTATCACTATATACAAGGACTGCAAAGGAAAAATCGATTGATAAAGAAAAAAATATTTTATTGGATTGTACTGTACATATTAATATATTATTTTATTAGAATAAACCTTACATATGCGCTGATTTTGTTTGAACCCCAAAATCCAGTACGGTATGATCATAACGTTATGAATACTTTATACTAGCAAAAACCCATTGGTTTTGAGGTGGGGCCATTGGTTTGACGGGTTGATGAATAGTAAAATAGTTTTTTTTAGCGGAGCAAATAATCTTTTTAGGGTAATTATCATCAAGATCTGATCTGGTCTAGCTTTGAACTGAACTGAACTGATCTGGTTCAAACCAGATTGAAATTTAATAGGATCTGATCTGATCTGGTTCAAACCAGATTGAAATTTAATAGGATCTAATTTGATCTGGTTTTGATATGATCTGTTCAGAGCCTTATGTACAACCACTAATATTGAGATTAGAATGATATTTATTTAAAATATTTGCAAGTTCGGTGGATGTAGAAAATTTATTTCTGGGTCTCCCAGAGCATTTCTCAGGATCTAAAGAAATCCCATTACTAAGATTTTTAGTATGATTGTATATTATAGAAAGCGGAATAGAAGTTAATTCATGTAAAATACAGGCATCGTGAATTCCATTTTCCCATAAAGTAGTTACAGTTTTATGATGTTGATCAATCAAAAAGAAATTGTTTATTTGGAAAACATTTTATTCCAAAAACTTTTTTTGTGCACTATATTTTATGAAAATTATTTTGCTTAATAATTAATAGATTTAATTTTTTATATTTTAATATTTATTCTAATAATAAATAAAGCAGTGTATGAAAGTAAAGGAAAAGAAACAAAAGAACCAATTATTTTGTAAATTAGATGTCTGATTTTATCACTTTTCGAATATGCTTATTTATGCCAATAATTATTAGATGTGATAGTGAAATAATATTTGTTAATGGTAGAAAACACAACCTGTGATTTAATAAAATTCAAAAAATTTACTTATCTTAATTTTTGTGTAATTCACGTGATAATGTTCTTATATTTGTTGTGCATTTGTAATTTGTAATAGTATATCACATGAAAAGGCATGTCTAATGAATATACATGAAATTTGTTATCTATATATAATAGGAAATAAAATCAATTATTTTAGTATTCTGAAAAAGATGGGCTTGATAAATTTTTACAAGTTGCAAATCTTACTATATATTTGTGCTGCATATAACTTTATCCCTCTTAGTTTGTCAAGATTACCAGGATACTCCTTGATATAATTCAACATTATTTTTGCTATTTTTTCAACCTCTAACATAGTGAGTGTGATCTGGATCCAAAGGAGATCCCGATACCTCAATGATTGAGATTTCTAATGGAACTACTAACATATCAATTATGATGTCAATTTTGTTCCCAGGGCTCTGGCAATCATCTTCAAACAATGATTCATTTTTTAAAATTGATGAGGCTTCTCCCCTATTAAAATCATAAATCAAATAGATTTAATAGTTAAAAAAGTAATGATATAATGTGAAATTACCATCTTAAATTAAATCAAGATTGCTCTTTGAAAAGAGCCCGAAATATGATTGAGATAAAATTAATTATATACATAGTAGTATTTGGTTTGACCTCTGCCTAATCCTAGTTGGTTATCTCTCAGTTGATTTTTACTATTTCAAATGTTAACAACCATTATGATAGTCATATAATAACTCAAAGAAATTTCTAAGGTTGACAAATACTTGCAAAATTTCAACAAACTTCAATGGCTTCTTCTTCCATTGGTTCTCAAGGATTCACATATCTTCTTTTTTTCAAATTTGATAGCCTATCCAATGTAATCTGGTTTTTGAAAAGATAGAATCAAAAGTGAGCAAATAAATATGCCTTCATTCTGACCAGATGATGATCTCTTCCAATTATATAATGATCTTAATATGTCTTCCAATAATGAACTCACATAGTCCCCTATGAGTGTTTGTTTGTTTGCTACAGGTTCCATTAAAGCCTTTTCCAACTTGATAATTAAGTCAGACCAGATATTTTTGAATAACGTCCTGGAGTAAGTGATTGAAGCTTTAATTATGTCAATGATACTAAAGTACAAATGGCTAAGCAAAATAATATTTTAGGAAAGAAATATTTTGTGATTTAATTTTCACAAATGAATTAACATTTTACTTCATAATTTGGACTGGCATTAAACAAAATTGGCCAGAATTATAAGAGGGTCAATTTCAAATTTTTACAACATACATCAAACTTTAACTTGACATTACTCTTGTTGCACTGAACTTATTTACAAAATTCCAACATAGCTCAATAACTTTTAACTAAATAATCAATCTACATTGTTTTTTTTCAAAAGTTACATGAAAATTTAACTCATGTCAAGTTTAAGAAGACCAATTATTTTGGATGTATTCAAATGCTGCGCCGAGTGCCTATTTTCAATCCAAAAATCGCAATGATATTCTTTAGTGTCACAATATTATAAAATCACATGACTCCAACATTTATCATATAGTTGGCTCGGTCTAAAGACCTACTAAATTTTGGGCAAATTTTAAAAGTATAGAAGTCATTTTCTGTCCTACCTTTTAAAAAAATAGCCTCATTAGTTGGTAAAATAGGTTTCTACTTTTAATGTAATGAAGAGATTTTCCCCAAAAAATTATTTATTGTAGAGTTCTATTCTTTTTTAAAACATGTATATACTTTACTATGAGAAATTTGAGTGCTAGTATCATTGCTAAATTTAGACTAGTTTTTAATCATCATGCCTAAATTTAGCCTAATACTCTCGACCATCATATCTAAATTTGGCAGCAAGGAAAATGTTTTTTAACCAAAATCACGTGTAACCCTTTTTTAAAAAAAATTTATTGCATTTTTGAACGAATCACGAAATCGCAATTTTTGAAATTTGAGCGCGCGGCGCAGCAATAGAAGGTCTTTAGACCGAGCCAACCATATTAGTATTAGGGAATAAGGTTTATTCGAATTATTTGTTTTGTTCGTTATTATTATAAATTTGAGTATTCTAATTACATTGAAAGTTTATTCGAATAAACGAATAAAACGAATAAAACGATAAAATGAATAATTCGAATACGAATGATACAAATGATACAAATGATTTGAATAAACGAATAATAATAATAATAAAACAAATTAAACGAAAAATTCGAAGAGACGAACAATTCAAATGAGAATTTGTATTACGAATAGAAACTCTAATATTCGTTCGGGCATCAAAATTAGCCAATCATATTATTATTATTTATTTGTTGAACAAAAAATTTTTTTATTTTAATGATTAAAGAGTTGTTGCATGAACAATAAAAAATATTTTTTCCTAATTTTTTTGTTTCGGTCACGTGTCAAGTTGATCTTTTCTCAAATAGGAGGAGGATCATTGGATGCCAAATCCCACTTTTGATATATAGTAAAATCGTGCAACTTCAAACCACCAAGGCTTTTTTCTTAGTAATAAAATTGAAAAAAACTCTCTATTTTGGCAATATTTAGAACCTAAGTAACAATGAAATAGAGAGTTTTTTTCAATTTTATTAATGAGAAAAAAAACCTTGGTGGTTTGGAATTGCACGATTTTTTTGCCTTTAGATGATCTGTATCATACTAATATGAAAATTAAAAAGGACAATGTAGTATCGTTTTTTAATATAATCTCTAGTTTCCATTTTGTATCAGGACTTATCACTGGATGATCAATATTTTAGATATCTAAATTATAAAGTTCATCATTTTTAATGATGTAATCTTTCAAAGCTTTAACCGTCGGAATAAAAGACGTGGAATTAACTACTGTATATGCTTGAAAATATGATCGTGATTATGATTTTAACACTACTATTGATTATTTTGGATTGAAAATATAATTAAAAAAGAATGTAGAGGCAATTTTTTAATTCATTATTAAAAAATTTTAGAAATCACGGAATATGTATTTATACAGAATATCTCACATAATAAAGATAATAAAAAGGGTTTAAATAAGATAATCAGGTTTTTTCTGATAATGAATTTGGTAATTATAGTAATAGTAATAACAGTAGTAGGAGGGTTAACGGTTTATATTATTGTTAATATAATAAATAATATTTTATCATCGCAGAAAACCATTGTACATCGTACGTACATATATATGTACGATGTACTAAATTTCCTCGTACAGGTGTACGACCACAACGAAGTTGTACGAACTCAATTGTATGTTGTTCGTATATACGAAGATTCTGCGAAATTCCACAACCCTGACTACTATTACTATTATTACCATTATGAATCATTGGATAAGAAATTGG